ATATTATATACATATATACATATATGTATTATATGTTATTCAATAAAGTGTTCACATGATAATGATTTATTTTGTGCGTATTGCACATTTGTGCAAAAAAAAAAATTTTTGCACTGCATATTTGTGCCGAATTTTTAACACTGCGACCGTTGCCATCCCTAGTTGTGATTAGATTCTAGCTCGTTAAAACCATCTTATCAAGACGGTCTTTTTTTTTTTTTTGTAAATCAAAAGTTGTTGGTGATTAAAGACTGGATGCGTTTAGCCCATATGATAATCTTTTTATATAAATGTTATTTCATTTGACTTTGTAAGAGAAAATACCACCTGACATACAGTATATATATCGTATGACCGTTACGTAGAAAACTGCGATTTAAATTAACTATTTTAAGACATAATCAAATAATTACGTTTTTTTTGTTAATGGTTAATACGTATTATTGAACTTAACCAAATTTGTACATTTATATTTACAATGAACTCCTTGCTTCAACCATACGAAACTAGTGCCGAAATATGTAGTAACGCAACACAACACAAAAAGGAAGACATTTAGGATTTTGCTGACTAACATAACACTTATCAAACAAACTTTTCTTCCTATAATTACTTTGAATAGTTTTCACTATGGTAGGTAATTGGCAAACCCCTTGAGCGTTTACGCGTAATAGAGGAAAGGCTAAAACGTTTGTTAATTGATTGTTATAGTACTTTCCTAGGAATGTAAACGCTAGAAGTATTTATTATAAGTTTTCTTGTCGGCTTCACCGTTTTTTCCTTAACTATTTTAATAACTTTAATACCGATAGGACCACCAACTCACTGAGGAACAAATTGCAGAACTCAAGGAAGCTTTTGGACTATTTGATAAAGATGGAGATGGTTCTGTTACAATTAAAGAACTTGGTGATGTCATGAGGTCTCTTGGTCATAACCCCAATGAAACTGAGTTGCGGGATATGATTAATGAAGTTGATCTCGATAATAATGGTACAATTGACTTTAATGAATTCCTAAATATGATGGCTCGCAAGGTGAAAGACTCTGATGCCGAGGAAGAAATTAAAGAAGCCTTCAAAGTTTTTGATAAAGACGGCAACGGGCTCATTTCTGCAGCTGAGTTGAAGACCGTAATGAGCAGCATTGGAGAAAAGCTTACAGATGAAGAAATTGATGAAATGGTAAGTTTATAATCATTTTAATCAGCCATCCTTTGGATATTATGTGATACATATAATATGACATTGATTTGCATAGATCCATGAAGCTGATGTTGATGGTGATGGACAAATCAATTATGAAGAATTCGTCAAGATGATGAAAACCAAATAAAATTTCCAATATAACGTACTTTTAGCCTAATAATTATCAAAAAAAGTAGATGAATGGAATACGTTGTAACTATCTTTTCAATGATTAGACGCTTCTTGCTAAATATAAACACATATATTCGCTTTCATGTTCTATTAATTAAATTACTATTTAAAAAGTCTGAAACGGAATATGTAATTTAATAAGTGGGACTTGTATGATACTTAGACATGATGAGCATAAATAAGCATGAGAAATTGCTAGGTAGATTGCAAAAGAAGGTGCAATTTTATGATTCATCATTATATTTTTTTTTAATAAAAATATCATTTATCCTGTTTATTTATCGTTATCTGTAATATCATGCTTTAAACAATTGACATGTAACAAGCGAATGTATTAATTTATGATGTGATATGCATAATTTCTCTGACCCGTTATCATTATGACCTATTAGCTAATTATAGGTTATAAATTATAAAATTTACTACACCGGGTGTTCCTATTTTTTAAGTAACCTTATTTGTAAAGATCACAATGATTATTCATGCAAATATGTAAATCATGTCACTTCAAAAAAGGAGGGTAAAATAGGTATTTATAAGCCTATATTATGTATACCATTGTTTGTACAGATACGAATGTATAATTGGCATAATTTATAAAATTTATCTTTTATAAGTGATCTCTTTTTAATTGTTAGGGTGAGTCTTTTTCATGTTAGGGTTAGTATAGGTTATAGGTAAAAATCTCTTGAAGAATTTCTTTTGCGAACTAAACATACCATCTTAATTTATACCACATATACAGTACATTGCTATATGTTGTGGGTGAAAACAGGATTTAAGTAGATTTGGAATTTTTTATAATTTTGGGGTTATAGCGTTTATATAAGATAAACTCCATACTGAAACTCTAATTTAACTAAGAAATTCCAAATCCACTTAAATCCTATTTTCATTTACAATATATATATATATATACAGTATTAAAAATAATTTAAAAATTATTGTTTTTTAAGATAATTTTTTTAATTAAGTTATTTTAGAAGATTGTTATTTTCACCATAGTTTTTTGCTATTCTTACTATAGGTTATACAAAAAGATATAAAAAATTTTATTTTAATAACCAATTAAATTTAATTTTAAGAATTAAAGAAATTTTTATTAAGGTTTGTTGAGCTTCTAAATAAAGTTGTAAAACTAATTTTTTTGGTTTTGATAATATTTAGATTATTAAAATTAGTTCAAAATATAGAGATTTACAAATTGTCAATTATACAATAATTATAATTTTTAATATTTTGTGTAATTAGCAATTTGTAGATATCTATATTTATGTTTTTGATTCTAAATATCATGAATTTACTAGGCCAATTTTGATAATTTAAAAAATATTATTAAATTAAAAAATTAGTTATATAACTTAATTTAGAAGTCTAATAAATTCTAACTTTATAAAAACTTTTTTAATTTTAAAAAAATTAAGGATATAATGATTTAAAGTAGTAGTTAAGTTGTTATCTCCCAAGTGGCAGGTTTAGAGTTCAAATTCTACCAGAAATGTTTTTAGATAAATAGACTTGTGTATTGATAACAATTATTTAATGATTGGTTAGATATATTACCTGTAATCTTGATACTATTATCTTGAAATGAAAGCTCTTGGGTGATTTTTTTTTTTTTTTTTTTTTTTTTATGATTTTGCTGTATACATAATATAGTTTCATTACATTTTTTTATCACAATGATATATTAGTAACTATTTATTTTTATCTTGTATAACTATTTTCATGTGACAAATCAACCTTTATTTTTATTAAGAAACTAATTTAAAGTACAACTAATTATAGTAAGGGAAGGGAATACCCAACTAGTGTCCTTTGTTAATGCCTATTACCTAATATCAGATCTAGATTTCTTTGGGTTATATAACAGCTGGAAGGGCAGACCCCTTCTACCAGCAAACCCGGCATTTATTAATCAAATATAGGAAGTTCTTTATCGAATGAATTTTATACCTTTACAAGCAGGTTACATTGCTTCTGAACTACCTTACAAGAGAATTCTTTATCAGATAAATTCTATACTTTTACAGGCAGGTTACACTACTTCTGAATCATTCTGCTCTTATGGAGTTCACCCAGGCACTTAAGACTGCACTACCTCTCTACTCAGATCTTGCTAAATAGGCACCAATCTTGCCGAAGTCTCCAGGAATTATTTGGCTATAAGGACTTATTATAGGTTTGCACCATTCTTTGTCAGCTTGCATGCCTTCATGTAACTTATATATTATACAAACACCCTATAGATCTTCTCAATTTGGTTAAATTAGTATATACCAGGTTACAGAACTGAGCTTCAACTTTGATAAGCACTGTATATAATACAGCTCCAACTGAGAAGATCGTAGCTATTATATAAATAGAAATTTGAAGATTTGCCAGCAACAGGATTCGAACTCTAGACATGCTGCTTGAGAGTGATAACTTGACTACTTCACTAAGTTGTCACACCCTAGCTCTTAGGCGATCTAAATCTAAAGAATCAGAATAATTAAAACCTGTTTAGCAAGATCTGAGTAAAAAGATAGTAAAGATCTTTAATAATACTGCAGAAAGCCAAAAATCAAAAACTGAAAAACCAGACAAAAACTCTAAAGCAAAAAGGATTCACCAACCTGGCTACTGAAGTTGTATTGGAGGAAAAAGTTCTATATTATAGAATTAGAAATTAAAAAAAGTAAAACCAGAAAGCACTTAAAGCCTAGATACAATAACCGATCCAAGCTAACTGGTTTGGTAGTTTGGAAGAAATCAATATAAGGATCGGTTTAATGCAGATATTAAGATCAAAATGAACTTTATAAAGATATTAAATATTAGAATTGTGTAGTTTAATGATTAGCTCTGACTACTAGTATTGGTTTCAGTTACTGCAAAAAGTATAGTTACAGTATCATAACCTTCTTAATAGCAGTCCTATAACAATAATATAGCTACAGAGATCCTTCACAAGTTATAGCAGTGTTTAACAGGTAAGTATAATTTCTGCTTCTTGGAAAAACTATACTCTTCTGTCTGTGGCAGTTCGGGCAGACAATAGTTTATAGATAAAATATATGTTTATTAAAAATAAATAAAATAGGCTATCTTTAGATTTCTATTTCTAAAGAATCCTATAATATTACAAGAGAGAATTTAGGGAAGAGAGGATTCTGTATCTAAGGTAGACAATAAACAGGTCTTCTATTATTTCAGGTCTAATGTTAACTTAAGGAAATTTACAGCCTTTTTATATTTTTAAAGCTAAATGTAGTTTACTTAATACTAAGCATTAATTATAATTGCTAATCATTAAGTATTAAGTGTTAAGCATTAAGCATTAATCATTAATTGCTAATCGCTAAACATAATTGCTAATCATTAAGCATAATCAGTAATCATTAGCTAAGCATAATCGTTAATTATTAATTGCTAAGTGTAATTGTTAATCATTAATTGCTAAGCATTAAGTATTAAGGCTAATCATTATACATATCTTTTAAATTCTTCTCTAAGATAAATATAATAATAACTAATAACTAATAAAATACAAATATTGAAATAATAAAATAATACTTAGATAAAATAATAAATTAATAAAATAAAACTGTTCTATAATAGTATTTATAGTCTAATTTGAAAATGTTTGAGGTATAGAAAAATTAGAAGATATGCACTACACTCTCTCTAGAGCAACTTAGTAGTATAAGAATCCTATTGAGTTATTTATAGAATTAGAATACAAATAGTATAGCAGATATCAATCTGGGTAGTCTTCAATAAGAAGCAGCACAAGATTATGTGCTGGTGTGATTGTAATTGGTAATACAGAACAGAGAACATCAGAGTGTTTAAATAGATAATCTTCTAGTTGGGTTACAAGTATAGCATATAGTATAGAACCTTTGAGTGAACTACTTAAATAAGCGACCAAAAGTCATATATGTGGTTAAATATACTCTTATTAACCAAGAATATACTATCTAAAATACTTAATAAAAATCTGCCTTTATATGATATTGTAAAGGACAAAAAAAAATTTTTAAAAAATTAATTTTTAAATTTGATTAATTATTAAAATAATAATTTTATATCTTTTTGTATAACTCATAATAAAAATAACAAAATCTATAATAAAAATAACAATTTTCATTATTTTATAATATAATTTGTTTACGTTTATAAATATATATAATTATAATATTTTGATTAAATACTTTAAAGAATATAATCTAAATATAAATTAGCTCTAAACAAATATAAATCTAAATTAAATTTAACTTAATCTAAATTAAACTTAATTTTTAACTTAATATAGATCTAATTTAGATTTAATTTAAATTTAATCTAATCTAAACTAAATATAGTCTAAATTTAATTTAAATCTAAACTAAATTTAATTTAATCTAATATAAAGCTAAATCTAAACTATATTTAAATTTAAAAAACTCTAAATAGTGCTCTATATATAATATGTTCTTTATAGCAAACCTATGCTTACAATATAAATTATATACTGTATATTAATATTAGAATTAGAGTTAAGATTAGAATTAAAGTAAAGTAAAATTATAAAAGAAATATTTTTATCTATATTATATAATAGAGACTACCTAGTTAAAATTTTGAGATATTAACAATTTTTATAGTAGAGAATATACAGTATATAAAGCATTAACTTGTCTAGTTCTTTAAATTTAATTAAAAATTTTTAATTTAATTTTTAATTAAATATTAATATCTCAAGATCTAGTAATCCAATTTTAATATTTTAATATTATTAAAAAAATTTTCTTAATAAGAAGATTTTAATAATATCAAAATTATTAAAATTAAGTTATTAGATTTTGAGATATTAATATTTAATTAAAAATTAGGGTGTAGAGACTTAGTAAAGTAGTCAAGTTGTCACACCCCCAAGCAGCAGAACAAGAGTTCAAATCCTATTAGCAACGAAATTTTTAATTTTATAGA